ATCAAATTTTACCCATAACCATCAGACCACCAAATCCATGATGATCGGGAAATAGTCTTTCGTTCGGAGTGATCAGAACCCCAATTCTCATAACGCTCTCCAAGTCCCATAGGTAGTTAACTGACATCAAATCCACAGAAGAGAAAGATATGACGGAAATGCAACTTTAGGTTTAGACGGCAAAGAACAAACGAAAAGTAGATTTTAGGTTTAGACAGCGGAGAACAAACGAAATAAAGTTTTTAGGTTTAGATGTGCAAAACAAACATATGTTTAGGTTTATAGAAATGAGCTTAGTCATAAAATCCTAAAACATTGAGTTTTATTGCTCCATGTGTTAAAAGCCTTGAAATCTTTGCAAAACACTATTTAAAAGGCAACTATGACCTAATCTTCAAATGTCATTTTATTGAGAAGAAGACACAACGTCCAAAAAATTAGTAGGAAACATCACGATACTTTAATTAAACTATTTCATATGTTTTCTATCATTATTTATTAGAAAACTATCACCACAAGGCTAAAATCTTTAACCAACTTAGTATTTTGATATCAAAATTGAAGATCCGGGGACCTAATTGTCCTTTTAAAAACGTCATATGTTGAAGGTTGTAACAAGTTTGGATATGAATTATGAAGTTACGTAACAAGTTTGGATATGAATTATGAAGTTACTAAATCATGAAATATGTCTGAAATTACTAATCCATGTAGTAGACGCTTAACACCACTATAATTGTAAATTATCGGAATTAAAAATTTATGTTGATTATCAAATACCGAATAAAAAAAATAAAAAATAAAGTAGAAATGGGAAACGGTGATTGTTTTGTTTGTATTTGTAAAACGCAGCAGAGAGATATAGAGACACTGAAAGCAAAGACCAAAAAAAAAAAATCCAACGAAAGAAGAAAAAAAAAGAGAGAGAGAGAGAGAGAGGAAAATGGAGAGCGACGAAGCAGCAGCAGTGTCTCCTCAAGCAACGACACCGAGCGGAGGAACCGGAGCTTCTGGGCCGAAGAAGAGAGGTCGGAAACCTAAAAGCAAGGACTATTCTCAGACGCCGTCGTCGCAGCAACAGAGCGGTGGCAAAATGAAAGAAAGTGGGAAGAAAACGCAGCAGACGCCGAGTGTTGACGAGAAGTACTCTCAGTGGAAAGGTCTCGTCCCCATTCTCTACGACTGGCTCGCTAACCATAACCTCGTCTGGCCTTCACTCTCTTGCAGGTCTTCCACTTTTTTCTCTTCTAGGGTTTCTGTTTTAAATCGTACCTTCCGCTTAATTTGGTATGAATTTAGTAAAATGCTGAGAGATGGACACATACATTTTCTCGATTTCTGGGTTTGAAGTGAGATTTTTGCGATTGTTCTAGTTAGGGTTTTGGTTTTGGATGTGGCTCTGTCGTCATGCCTTGATATATCTGATGTTCTATTCATGGAATTACTTTGTTGGTTACTAATGTTTTTGAGGAAATTTCAATTTCTCTGATGTTTAGCTGTGTTTGTTTATATCTGATCAAGTCTTTAGTTGTTGTGCTAAGAGTTTTCATTTGGTGAATTGTTGGTTGGTTTTTAACAGATGGGGTCCGCAGCTTGAGCAAGCAACCTACAAGAATCGCCAGCGTCTCTATCTCTCAGAGCAAGTAAGTTTTTCGTTTTCTCTTTATCTTGCTTACAGTAAACATTTCAGAAAGTTGTTCTCATCATACTGTTTTTTTTTCTTGGTTGTGTCACCAGACTGATGGAAGTGTGCCCAATACTTTGGTCATAGCAAATTGTGAAGTTGTTAAGCCAAGGGTCGCTGCAGCAGAGCACATTTCTCAGGTATTTTGTGGTTTATACTTATCTTGTGCCTTTTGCTTATCACACTACAATGGATTTCCTGTTGTGACACTTTTATACTATCTTCTGCAAATGTGTTTTTCAGTTCAATGAAGAAGCACGTTCTCCATTTGTGAAGAAGTACAAGACCATCATTCACCCTGGAGAGGTGTGAATTCTGCCCACTCTTGAGATTTTTCTGTATTGACATTGTTCTTTCTAGTTCTATTTGGTTCGTTAATTGTATCTGCACCGCTGTTTCATCGGTCCATGAATTTACTCCTTTGGCACTTTGGTGAAAGTAAATTTTGATGTGTATTCATTACTAATTTGCAATTGCAGGTTAACAGAATCAGGGAACTCCCACAGAATAGTAAGATTGTTGCTACTCACACCGACAGTCCTGATGTAAGTGCTGCTTCTTCTATTGTTATGGTCATAGCAACTTGAAATATGCTGGTTTCATATCTCTTTATTTGGCAGTCAAAGAGCATCCTTTGTTTTTGACGTATTACCGGTTTCAGTTATCTGAATACAATATGCTGATTCCAGGTTCTCATTTGGGATGTTGAAACCCAACCAAACCGTCATGCTGTGCTTGGAGCTGCAAATTCCCGTCCAGATTTGGTATGTCCACTTCTGAGAATGTTGTTGCAAATCATTGCTTGCGCTTCATTCTTGTATTTTTCTCATCATTGGAAGTGATATATCTCTTTGATATCTTCTGCCTATTGTTTGCATCATCTGAACGAACCATTTTTCTTGCAGATACTAACTGGGCACCAAGATAATGCTGAATTTGCTCTTGCAATGTGCCCAACCGAACCCTTTGTGCTCTCTGGAGGTTTGTGTTTCTGTGATTTGTAGTATTCAATCCTGTGGTTTGCCAGTTTCTCATACAAAGTTTCTTCTCTTAGGCAAGGATAAGTCAGTTGTTTTGTGGAGTATCCAAGATCACATCACAACGGTTGGGACAGATTCCAAATCTTCTGGATCTATCATCAAACAGACTGGTGAAGGTAGTGATAAGAATGAGAGTCCTACTGTTGGCCCACGAGGTGTATATCATGGCCATGAAGATACAGTTGAAGATGTGGCATTCAGCCCGACGAGGTAACTTCTTAGAACAGACTCCTCCTATTGACATCGTGTATTTTTATACAAAATGCAGATATTTCCATGCTTTACTAATGATGCTTCTGGTGAAATTTTATGTCGTGAAGTGCACAAGAATTCTGCAGTGTTGGTGATGATTCTTGCCTTATACTATGGGATGCAAGAACTGGCACAAACCCTGTCACGAAGGTACACTATCTTCTTAGTCCTATCAAAAGTTTGAAGATTTTTACCTTCTTTTATATTTTATCTTGCTTTTTGTTTCCAGGTTGAAAAGGCGCATGATGCTGATCTTCATTGTGTCGATTGGAATCCTCATGACGACAATCTGATCCTGACAGGGTATGGAGAAATACGTACAAACAGATGATTAATGCACACTTAGTATCTAATTAAGAAAACGTTTAGCATATGCATACATGTACTCATTAGATATTGATGAATGTTTCAGGTCAGCAGACAACACTGTCCGGTTGTTTGATCGTAGGAAGCTTACCGCTAATGGAGTCGGGTCACCTATTTACAAATTTGAGGGCCACAAAGCTGCTGTTCTTTGTGTTCAGGTGTAAACAACTGCTATATTTTTATCCTTCTTCGTATTATGTATATCTCTTAACCCACTGACACTATCTTGTTAACCCAATTCAGTGGTCTCCTGATAAGTCATCCGTCTTTGGGAGCTCTGCAGAAGATGGTCTCTTGAACATCTGGGATTATGACAGGGTGTGTACATAATTCACTCAGATATATCTGAAATTAAGCTTTCTTCACTATCATCATTGAAACATATTTATTGTACTCATGTTTGGTTTGTTTAATTATCCACCAGGTCAGTAAGAAGTCTGATCGTGCAGCTAAAAGCCCCGCTGGGCTCTTCTTCCAGCATGCTGGTCACAGGTTCTTAAAAACTTGATTCTAATTCTCTTGATTGCTTTCTTATATTACTTGCTTCTAATTTCCCATGTTTATAAACCTTCTTAGGGACAAAGTTGTTGATTTCCACTGGAATGCTTCAGACCCTTGGACTATTGTCAGTGTTTCTGATGACTGTGAGACTACTGGTGGGGGTGGAACATTGCAGGTAACCTTCAAAATACATTCTTGGTACCTCAATAAGCAATTTTATCGATAAAGCAGAAAATGTTGTTTATACTTTCTTCTATGGCAGATATGGCGGATGAGTGACTTGATTTACAGACCAGAAGAAGAAGTCGTGGCAGAATTGGAGAAGTTCAAGTCGCATGTTTTGACTTGTGCCTCCAAGCCTTAAGAGTAAAGAAAAACCATTGCCTATCTATCTATCGCCTATGGTAACCTAATGCGGGGTTTAGCGGTTTTTGTAAGGCTGGTTTGTCTTTTGAGATATTTGATGGTAGCTTTTAGGACCTTTCCATATCATTTAGGGGTACATGGTTTTGGTTCCTGATCCTTTTTATCAGACTCTTAGGTGCTGTTTTGTTCAACTGAGATGTTAAATCAAATCGGACCAACTTTATGTGTTTTGGTTTAAGCTTTCAGTGCTTGGCCTGAACCTAATGATTCCTTCTCTGAAACCAGATGAGACTAATCCCGCTATAAAATCAGAGTTGCATTGAGCTTGTGACAACATTATGCGATTCAAATGATGTTCAAATGCAAGACAGAAGGGTCATTTTAAAACAAAATAATACTAAGCATCGCAAAATTTGGAAACTGTGTTCTTGATTCCTCACATCTTAAATGATGTTTGCATTGTTGTATACTTGTCTTCATTAGAAAGAAAGAAAAACTGTTAATCACGTTTAGCAATAGGACTTGGTGATTCCCAACACGGATTTATTTCGTAGGATTTTGAAGAAATTCTCAGAATCATATTAACAGACACTAAACAATCTGATCATAGCAAATCAGAGACAGACACCTGGTCATTATTTAGATTTTAGAGACCAAATAAAAAACTATACAGTAAAATAAGGGTATGAAATGTTTGCTTAATTGTTTTACTTTTTTGGGCTTTAAGGTAAATGGTCCTCCAGCTTAATAGGCTTCAGGAAGTCTCTTGATGAATTAGAGACTTTCAAAATCCAATCGGAAAAGCCTACATGAGAGATGAGACCGTCAAGATCAGTCAGAGAAGATCAAAGCGAACAACTTTGTTCCGAGAGAAACGAGAATCAATCTATTGCTTGAGGAATAAGGCAGGGAAGCTAATCAATCACAAGTAGAAGAAACGGAGGATTTCATCAAATTAGGGTTTTAAGACCTACATTTTCTTTTTTTTTTCCCAACGATACTTAAATTGCACGAGAAACTCTATAAGTCGCGAAATCTCCATCGGAATCGATGGAATCATCTCCTTCTGGATCCGAACCTCCCCAGAAAGTCGTTTCTAAACTGCAAAAAGTCGGCTGGCGAGCTACGATGATCTTCAATCTTGGTTTTGCAGGTTAGAAAGTGCATTACTTTCTTACTGGGTTTTTAGTTTTACGTCCGTAATGTGTTTGATGTAATGCCTAGATGAGAAAGTTCTTTCCTTTTATTTTATTAATGTTTCAAGAAACGAATCGAATTCTTGCTACAATTTATCACTTGGACCGTTGTTGTTGTCCTTGCTTTGATTCTCGAAGAAAGCTGATTATTCCATGGCATTACTTTGATTCTCTATTCTATTATCAGATATTAGAGCATGCTCATTGAACGGACATTTTCTTGGACCTGCATCTCAGTTACTCAGCGATACGAAAAGACATTGATTTAAGCAAATGCAGTATTTAGAAACTATCTATATCTCTTTGTGTGTGTGTATATATATCTTGGATAAGCAGCTGCGTTGAATAGAGGATGCACACAGGTTCTTGTAAATTTTCTGGTTCATGGACATGATTGCACATCTTATTGTCTTGTACTCTATTCTTTTGAATTAATGTTTCAGCATTACTCCCTGAACTAGGTTTCTGTATCATACTCTCACTAAATCCATATCGATTTTTTTTGCTGGCAGAAGAACTATAAGCGTGGTCTAAATCAGAATTGAGAAAAACATGCTTGATTTCTTATGTTATAGCATTCATGATAGTCCACTTCAATGTTGGCTGATTTTGATCCTTTGTTTCTGCAGCTTATATATTTGCGATAAAACGAGAAAAGGATATTGATGCGGACGAGAAGAGGAAAGTTAAAAAGGGCAGCGAGGCCAGGAATAAAGGTGTGAAAAAGGGTGCTGTTAACACAGAGGTCGAGAAGAAAGGTGCAGAAATCAGCAGAGTTGCAGAGACTGATAAGGCTAAGGAAGCAGAAACTGCAATGCCGGAGAAGGAAGAAACCAAACCGATCCTTGAGCTGGATCCGCTGTTTGAATTTACAGATGCAGCTGATCAATCCATGTTTCAGACTGTGGCAACCGAACATGTAAAGGTAGCAAGGAAACCGATACCAGAAGATGAGCAAAAGGAGCTTTTCAAGTGGATATTGGAAGAGAAAAGGAAGATAGAACCAAAAGACAGAAAAGAAAAGAAACAAATCGATGAAGAGAAAGCTATTCTGAAACAGTTCATTCGTGCCGAGAGGATTCCCAAACTTCTCCCTGATGATTCCGTTGATTCTTCGCTTCGTGATTGGGACAAATTCTTCTCCAAGTAGAAAGAAAACAGAAACTAGTGTGTACTTGTTTTTTGTTAGTACACGAAATGATCATTGTTGGCTTTTTAGTTCTACTACTCTGATTGTTACTCTAATCAACGAATAGTTAAAAGTCTTAAAGAGCAGTTTAAATGTGATTTCTTGGGGTTGATAGTGGTGCTTTTTATAAAACTTTGGGGTATTGTTTTCATTTCTTATAAGATAAAGGACTTAAAGATAAATTCAATAAACAGAAGGGTGTTTCTGAGAAAGATGGTATAAATAGCTTAAACCCTAGAGAAACTGAAGAATCCTAAATTGATCATCGTCCTCTTCACAAAGTCGAACACTTTAGAGTTATTTAGAAAATCAGAAAGACCAAAATGGGCCGCACCGTGAAAACCAAGGCAAAGAGGAAGAACAAGGTTTGAAATTTTTGAATCCCAACTTGCTCTTGTTTCAATTCTCCAATCTGATGTTCTCAAACCAAAACCTAATCACATGAATTGGATTTTTTTTTTTTTTTTTGAATGAACAGAAGAAGGCAGAGGCGTCTTCTTCGGAGATACCTTCGATACCAACTAGGGTTTGGCAACCAGGTGTTGATACCCTTGAAGATGGAGAAGAACTTCAGTGTGACCCTTCTGCTTATAATTCTCTCCATGGCTTTCATGTTGGTTGGCCTTGTTTGAGGTAATTTCATTTGTATTTCACTGTTCTTGTTTGATTCGAAATGGATTAGATTCATATAGTTTAGACAATAATAGCTGAAAGTGTGAGACTTTAGGGATTATAAGAGATAATTGTATATGTTCTGGAACAATTCAAATGAGAACATGAGAAGCTTCATCTTTGTTTGTGAACAAATGTATTTGCAAGTACATTTCTTTACTGTGTAATTCATTAAGTTATGAGATTTACTGTTTGTGAATGATTACAGTGCAAGTTTTGGTGATTTGATGGCTTTCTGTTTCTTTTTCAGTTTTGACATTTTAGGTGATAAGTTGGGTTTGAACCGAACTGAGTTTCCTCACACACTTTATATGGTGGCTGGGACTCAGGTAAGTTTTGTACTTTTTTATATCTTCATATGTATTTGTGCTTTTAGAATCTTGTGTTTAAGTTGTTAAATCCTGTGAACACTTTCTCTTTTCTTTAGGCTGAGAAAGCAGCTCATAACTCCATAGGGTTATTTAAAATCACCAATGTATCTGGTAAGAGACGTGATGTTGTGCCTAAGACATTAGCGAATGGTGATGATATGGAGGATGAGGATGATGATGACGACAGTGACAGTGATGACGATGATGGAGATGAAGCTTCCAAAACTCCAAATATTCAGGTAATTCATGATTCGTTTTAACTCTTGTTATTCATTCATATCTCTTGTCTCTGAAGACGAGAGAGGCCTCGTGGTTGATATTTTGTCTCAAAATTTTGGTATGCAGGTTCGAAGGGTTGCTCACCATGGATGTGTTAACCGTATACGTGCAATGCCACAAAATTCTCACATCTGTGTCTCTTGGGCAGATTCTGGTCATGTACAGGTAAGATTATGTCATTGTTATTTCCAAAACTGGATATTAGTTCAGCATTTGGCAATATGAAACAAAACTATGAAGATATCATTGTCTACTTTCACAGCTTGTGTGTTTTCTTTGTAAGTGTCTTTGTTAATGTGTATTAGCTTTTGTCATTCTTGACAGGTCTGGGACATGAGCTCTCATCTTAATGCTTTAGCCGAATCAGAAACAGAAGGTAAAGATGGAACTTCACCGGTTCTTAACCAAGCACCCTTAGTAAACTTTTCTGGCCACAAAGATGAAGGCTATGCTATAGATTGGAGTCCTGCAACCGCTGGAAGACTTCTTTCCGGTATAGTTATCTCAGAAATTTCTGCGATACTCAAACAATTACATGCTTTTTGGCGAAGTCAATATTAATTTTTTTCCTCCACTGGCTAGGGGACTGCAAGAGTATGATTCACTTGTGGGAGCCAGCTTCTGGTTCATGGGCTGTTGATCCTATTCCGTTCGCTGGACACACTGCAAGTGTTGAAGATTTACAAGTAATACTGCCACTTTACAGCTAAATAATATGTTTGCTGGTACCATTTCCTTTTGGCTGAACAATCTGTTTCTTTGTTCCAGTGGAGTCCAGCCGAAGAAAACGTGTTTGCTTCATGTTCTGTGGATGGGAGTGTTGCAGTATGGGATATCCGTCTTGGGAAGTCGCCTGCACTATCTTTCAAGGCACATAACGCAGATGTGAATGTCATCTCATGGAACAGGTTCTTGTGCCACTATGCTCCATAACTTAATTCTGTTTGGCTTTGTGCTGCCCACGAATGGCTCAGTCTTAATTTTTCTTCTTTCATGAAGGCTGGCTAGTTGCATGTTGGCCTCAGGAAGTGATGACGGGACATTCTCCATCCGTGATCTTAGACTGATCAAAGTAAGTTAAAAAGCGTAGCTTTATATTTTCCTTAGCAATCTCTGAACAAGATTCTGATATAATGGCATATAAATCTTGTACTAGGGTGGAGATGCAGTGGTAGCACATTTTGAGTACCATAAGCACCCTATCACTTCAATTGAATGGAGCGCTCATGAAGCTTCGACACTTGCAGTCACTTCCGGTGATAACCAGCTCACGTAAGCGAGAAAACAATACACCGATTCTCTCCAGAAAAAACCAAAACTCTGTCGTAATTGTTTTTGGCTATCTGTTGTATTTATAGGATATGGGATCTATCCTTAGAGAAGGATGAAGAAGAAGAGGCAGAGTTCAAGGCACAGACCAAGGAGCTAGTCAACACACCTCAAGACTTGCCTCCTCAGCTTCTCTTCGTTCACCAAGTAACATTTTTACTTCAACGTCAGTAGCTCGGTTTATTTGATTGATGCCTATTTTGTCTGAAAACCTTGTTTTTTTGGGGGAAAACCAGGGACAAAAGGATCTGAAGGAACTTCACTGGCACAACCAGATTCCGGGGATGATCATCTCAACTGCTGCTGATGGTTTCAACATTTTAATGCCTTACAACATTCAGAACACGCTTCCGTCTGAGCTACCAGCCTGAAAGACAAGGTCGTTGTCTGAAAACTCTTGAAGTACTACTCATAGTTTGTACTGTCCTCTCTCTGTTCTCTTTCATTGTATCATTGATAGCAAGTTTCAAGAATTATTATACTCTTTCACAACTTTGAAGTTTTCATCATCAGTTTATTGATTTCAGTTGTGACAAAATGTCAATTTTTGAATAACATTCTCTTCTCCAGTAACACAAGCCACAAGCCTAATAATTTAATCAACAATAAGTCAAAAATTCAAGTTTCATATAAATTGAATGGACAAATATTCATTTTTGTTCAAGTTCATGAGAGTAGACAAATTGTAAAACCCTGCTCATAATATTCTCCAAATTGAAGATTACAACAAGTAGATAAATGTTGATTAAATGAACAAAAAAGCACAAAAGCCAGAATTCAGATGATGTAGAATGTAACATCATGATGATGATGAACTATTCTCCAAAGACAAACTGACTAGCTGTTCTTCGACAATCGCAGTCTTTATAAACTCCACAACTATCGAAACCAATTCCTTCTGGTGTTTAGTGTAACCATGATTAGCTCCTTCCACAATCTCCAGCTTATGATTCGGTATAACCTTTGCAAACTCCTTAGCATCTTCCACAGGTACAACCGTGTCATCCGAACCATGAACCGTCAAGACTTTGCATTCTTTATCAATCTTGAGACAAGCTTCATGCATATCAGTGTTTAACCTATCCATTAAAGACTCTTGAGTAACACGGAAACAAGATTTCCCCTCTGTAGCATCAATGAACCCTTGTTCCTTGATCTTTTCCATATAACCATCTCCAAGACGTACACCTTTCTTTAGATCAAAACGTCCCGAAATATTGACTACATTGCGGATATTATCGCCATACTTTGAAGCATAGAGAACAACAACATCACCTCCTTTACTATGACCTAGAATCACAGGAACTACACGGTTCATGTTTGAGGACAAGTGTTGAATAACGTTTTGCAGATCATCCTCTGCTTCACTGTTGAAGTTACCATAGTAAAAAGTTCCTTCACTATCTCCGTTGCCGGAGAAATCGAATCGAAAAGAGCTGATTTTTTCTATCTCTAGAGCTGTAGCCACATTCTTCAGAATCTTGTTGGCTTTGTCCGATCTAAAGCCATGGCATAAGACCACAACGTCTTTTGATCCGGTTTCGTGAAGCAGACCCACGAGCTTCTCGTTGCGGCGGTTCGGAATCACGATCTTCGTTGGCTTCATCCTCAAAACTTTTTTTTTTTTGGCTTCCGAGAGAAAAACAAAATCTAAAGTTTAGAGGTTACACTGATTAATTTATATACTAAAACACGGTGTTTTAAACACCCTAAAACCCTAAGTTGAAAGAAAAAGGAAATTAAGAAAATAAAAAGGAAAATTCAAGCCGGTAAAAGAATCAAAATGTTCATATATCTATGTACTTTTCTACCATTCCTTGTGCAAAATAAAATCGACCACACTATCATCAGTAGTCATGAAGTAGATAATAAGATTTAAGCTCGGGTTTTAACAGAACAGGGTTCTTGATACAACAACAAAAATTAACCCGCAATTCGCAGGGCATACACGTGAAATATATCTATGATCCAACCGGCTTCCCGTTAAGTTTAGGGAATGGATCTTGCTTGCTTAGAACTATCACTTTGCTCTTGTGAGCTAAATAACCTTTCACAAGGTTTTTGTATATCAAAATCGTCATTATACATTCCACCTGCAAAATGTATTGAGAACTGTGAGTTTACAGAATTCATGCTAGTAATCAAAAGCAATGAATGGGATGGGAACGTAGATGAAACCTCGTCGAGATCCATGTCCATTTCTAGCCATCTTAGTGCTTTGGCAATCACTTCAAGCTTCAGCTGGTGAGCTCTCGCTGGATCACTCAGCTTCTGGATTATATAACTGAAACATTGATAATAAGAGTTACGAAACTAAAGTAATCCGAGAATCTTGGATGAATTGATAGCTTGTGTTACATTAATCTTTGCTTACATTTTCTTCATGAGTCTCTGGTAGACTTGGAGCTCTAGCTTTTCCAAGACAAGATATACACCCGATCTCAAGAACCTGTACAAAGAGTATTAGATCGATATTAAGTTGTTCGGTTATACAATCCAAATATTCATCATAGAGAGACTTGCGTCACTTAACAAACGAAAGCAACTCGACTCGCGACCCAACTGCAAATCCTAACCCCTAGACAAATCCAGAACACCCCAACTCCTTCTGCCCCAACTTTCTTTTAACCTGTTAGCTCCTCTACCTAACCAGTTGTTACTAAGCTGTCAACACAGCTATAATCCACTACAAGCAGCCTACGCTAATTACAATGTGCATTCACTAGAGTAACCACAAGGACCTTATCATTTGAATGTATATGAGAAAAGCAAGATGTCGAAAGAAATACATACCGATCTTCATGTTCTTGAAGAGCATGCCGGAGAAGCCTGAGATCACCCTTTCTCAGAGCTTGCACAATCTTTGTATACTGGACACGTAGAGAAGTTGGATTAAGAAGAGATATAATATCACCCGCAGATGAAAAATAACATCTGAAGAGAATTGAAAGAGAATTTCATAGAACAAAAGAAAGTTGTTACCTCATGCAGATTATAATTTTGTAAGAGCTCATCTTTTGGTATAATTCCTATTGAAAGTTTCACGGGTATCAAATACTTCAATATCATCCTGATTCACAAAAGTCACATAAGCTGATTAAGCAACGCAATGCAAGAGTAAGGTAATCACAGAGTAAAAACCACAATCAGACCTTATATTCCGTTCTCTTTTGGGGTTGCAATATTGCAAGGCATATGATAGCTTTGTATCAGCCTGCAAGATAAAAAAAAAAGATTAAATGTTACCATCAATATTTCGATTGACACTATGAAATGAACTGTGATGGAATGAAAAAATCTCTTAGTGACTCACAGCTGGAAAATTTTCGTTGAAGACTTCTAATCGTCCGGTATAATACATGTATGTAACCTGGTGTTTGTGAAGAAGAAACAGAAGATAATAAGTAACCAAATCAGGAGGCCAAAAACTAAAACTGTTTGCAGAGAACTGCACAAGACCTTGTCTCTTCTTGGAAACTCCTCAAAGTCAAATATCCGAGCAGTTTCGATACTTCTTATTACACTTCGACAAAGATTGACGGTTCCAAGCTGAAATACAGAATTAGGAACACCTGTTTAATACTCCACATAACGGTTAAATCATGTCAAATCATAAATATCAAACTGTTGCCAGAAAGCATATCACCTTAAAGTAGGTCTTGAACAATTGGCAAGTCACATATAATGCTCCGACTCGTTTTGGACCTTTCCCCTACAGTTGAAAACTACATAAGGAGCCCAAAAAAAAAACTGAACACAAACATAAACTAATATTCCTGAAGATATATAGATAGAAGGGACAACTTACAGCAAGAACTCCAAAAACTTTCATGAGAAGAGATCCAGCTGCTTTTAATTTCTCGGGAGATTTTCCATTAGAAGTTAACTCCTTATCAGCCTGCAATTCCATTTGAAAAATCATGCTTTCAGAACTGAGTCCTTGACGCAGTGAAACCAAATAAGACTACGATTTCCAAAAAGGGATATACAAATGAGATACTACCTTTTCCGCAAGAATTCGAATTTCATAACAAACAACATACAGAGCTTCCAATGCCCAAGCAGATTCCCAATTACGAAACTCCTGAACAAATGCACTGCGCATATAGAATCCAACAAATATCAGACATTGTGAACACAAAAAAAAAGAGCTTATCACACTGAAATCAAATTAGATATCAATAGAGGAGCAGCGAGGAACAAGAATACTTTACTTGGCAAACTTCTCGAAAGCAAGGTATGCTTCGACTAGATTCCCAAATCGGTAACTTTGTAGAGAACGAAACAAATGAGCCAGAATCTCGCCATATTCAGAGAATTTATCAGACTGTCTAATCAAACTGCTAGCATCCTGTATCAGTCAAATTCAAAGGATTCAGCCCTTCACAGCTCTCTACATATAAATAAAAAAAAAGTTTCAAGCCCTAAATCTAAAATCCATACTCATAAACTCAAACATAGACAAAGAGTGTTCACTACAAGTACTCAATCACAGACACTTTGACGCCCTAAATTCAAATACTCATTGGTGAAGTAGGAGGACACAATTGGAAAATCATACTCCTAGATTGAAATTGATTGAACCTAAAAGATACAAACTTTGCTAACATAAAGATCATGGTCCTAGTGTTTCAAGCCCTAATTTCAAAATCATATTATAACCATCCTGGATTTGAAATCGAACCTAAAAGACACAAACTTTACCAATACATGGATCATGCCACTACTCCAAGCTGCTAATTTGAATCATGGGTCTCGATAAAACAGAGAATTTATGTACCTGGAAGACGTTGAGTGCGTCGGCGAGTGAGAGAAGAGGTGGAGAATTGGAAGAGAAAGAGAGGAGACGGCAAAGTGTAGAAGAGTCTTGGTACGAAACGGCGTCGCAGAAACGGTTTAAGTATTCAGTGATTCGCCGGTGAGCTTCACCCATACTAACGTACGCCATTGTCACCTTCTTCTTCTTCGTATTCGTCTTCCTTATTCTCTCAGAGAGAAACGAAATTAAAGTCTTCGATTCTTGTTTAGTAGAGGAACGGAGATGTGAAACGATGCGTTTCGTAATTAACTAATTGTTACTACTAGTGTTTTCTGGTTATGGACTTATTGACATATGTTAGTTGGGCCACTTAAGGCCCATTTAAAATACTATCATTAAAATGTTTGGAAATTTATCCGTTAAGGATTTGAAAATATCATTAGTGTTTGGCTCATTGGCTGTATAAAAAAAGCTTCTGTAAAAAACCCAACTCAAAAAACAAAAAATGCGGTTGTTGGCGATTGAAAAGGCGATTCTAGAAGAATGGTGGTTTTGGTTTCTCGTCTTCGCGGGGACGGTTGCCGGCAAGTTCGTCGACATCGTGGGGAAGTTTCTATCCACGTTTGGAGCGACGGTTATCTCCACGTTGAGATTTTTTCTCCAACGTGATGCTTATGCGACGGTTTTGTTACGGGGTGATGCCTATAAAAGCAATTCCAGCGAATTGAATTCTCTACAACCATCCCTTGCAATCAAATCAGTGATTACTTTTCCTTTTCGATTTTACAAAGTGTTGGTGAAAATGGCGGACAATTTGAGGCGAGCGGTTCAAGATATCAACTTGGGGTTTGATGATGTTCCGATGGAACTTCTGGCAGCGCTTGTGGCTAATGCAGCGGCGGAAAACCGCTACATTCTGATGGGCAGACCAGTGATGCCCAGACGTCAAAATCTGCGGTCAATTGTGGCTTCAATGCCGCGTGTGTGGGGTCAATCAGGCCTTGTTCATGGTCGGATTATCGGAGGAAATCAATTCCAGTTCATTTTCCCGTCAGAGGAATCGTTGGAGACAGTGTACCGGAGGGGTCATTGGGCTTTTAACGACAGGATGCTGGTTCTGCAACGTTGGACTCCCCTCCAAAACCCTCCCCTATTGACTTTCATACCTTTCTGGGTTCAAATCCGTGGCATTCCGTTCCAGTTTCTGAACCGAGAGGTGATTGCTCACGTCGGGCGTGCTTTGGGCAATCTCATGGAGGTTGACTATGAGGCAGAGGCTGCAGCAAGGGTGGAGTTTGTTCGGATTCAGATTAACTGGGATGTTAACCTTCCTCTGAGATTTGAACACAATTTCCAATTCCAAGTTGGGGTCAATACCTTATTGCGTTTTTGTTATGAGAGGCTTAGAGGTTTTTGTGAGGTTTGTGGAATGATGACCCACGACTCGGGGGCTTGTATCCTACAAAATGGCGGGGAGGAACAGTTACCAGAGGGAGATGATGATGAGGATGTTGGGGTCGGATTCCACCCTTTGGCGCCGAGCCAGACTTAGAACACTTCGGGAGTCTTTCAGTGATCACCTCGGGGCATCGCATCGTTCACCTCGGGATATCCATCTAATCGATTTAGTATACCCGAGCCCATCGCCTCGGGGATACCTTAACAAGACGTTTTAAGCACCCGAGCCCATCGCCTCGGGGATACCTTAACAAGACGTTTCAAGCACCCGAGCCCATCGCCTCGGGGATACCTTGACAAGACGTTTCAAGCACCCGAGCCCATCGCCTCGGGGATACCCTGAACAAGACGTCTCAAGCACCCGAGCCCAATTGCCTCGGGGGTACCCGAGCCTGGTCGCCTCGGGAGTTTCTGAGCCCATCGCCTCGGGGACACCCGAAGAAGCCATCCTAGAGTGCCCGAGCCAGTCTTTCCTGTGTACCCGAGCCGATTGCACAAGTTTCTCCGAGGTGAAGTCTTCATCATCGCCCGAGGTAAAGACTTAGCAAATATTCGCTTTCAAAGTACCATTTCCAAGCAAGGTATCGTTTCCGAACAAGAAGGATCATTTCCGATATACCCGGAAATGATAAGAGAGAATCTAGAAGGATCGATTCAAATCAGGAAATCTCTCAAAGACTCCGAAAAATAAGGAAACTATCCTAATCCGCGATATTCTGAGCCGACTTCAAGATAAATGGAAATCTTCCGAGAATATCGCTGGAGAGGCGGTTTATCACCTATATATAAAGAGACTCAAGGCTCAAGCAAAGGGCAAGCAATATCGCTCTAGAATTTACACTACGCAAAGCTCTCACAGCACAAACATCTTTTTCTTTTACGATCAAACTCTTGTACGATCAAAGTCATCTTTTTCTTTATAATATCAAGAACACCATCTTTGGTTACAATCGTTTCTGTTGTTCTTTGAGAATTCACGATTTTCGTATCCCTAAAATAAAACCCTAGACAAATCTTGATTGTGTTAGTTTCGACTTCCACAGTTTGGCGCCGTCTGTGGGGATTACTTTAGAATTCTCTTACCCTAAGAACGCAAGACTCGAATACCAGAGAGGATGGTGAACGAAGACGATCGTCAGATACCACCAGCCGGAGGAGGGAACCCTAACCCTCCGAACCCTCCTTCTAGCACCACTCAAGCCGATCCGACGATCATAGCAACTCTAGCCGAACTAAAAGATCTAATGGTTAAATTCCAGAAGAAAGCTGACGACCAAGAGAAAGCTAACAAAACCTTGGCGCAACGAGTCGACGAAATCGCAACACGTGGGCAACAAAAAACCACACGTTTCCAGACTCGGCCGCCACGAGCTCGGAGGGACTTGCCTGGCATCAACCCAACGAGACTCACGTTCGCGACACCAACCGGCAACACCAGAGTCGCAACCCGAGCCGACCCTGCCAGATGCGAGAACCGAGATGATCCCACCGAGCCGGACGCAGTGGACTTGACGGACGAGCCGGATGATCTGCAAGATGAGCGTACCCGAGCCGGAGCTAACTCCGCCGAGCGAACAGATCTCACTGACGATGAAGAAACTGAGGAAAACATAAGGTGGGCCGAAGAATCCGAAAGAGAAGACGAGCTAAGCAAAATCCGAGCCTCCCTAGCCAAGGCGGAAGCTGATATGAAGCTCGTCAAAACCCAGATACATAGCGTTTCATCCTCCGCACCGAACATCGACCGAATTTTGGAAGAATCTCGGAATACGCCTTTCACCAAAAGAATTTCTGAAATGACGATGTCCAATCTGGGAAAATTCAAAATCGACTCTTACAACGGATCAACCGATCCAAAGTGCCACATTAAATCGTTCGTGATATCTGTGGCCCGAGCCAGGTTCAAACCCGGGGAAAAGGATGCAGGTCTGTGCCTACTGTTCGTGGAACACCTCAAAGGACCCGCATTAGAATGGTTTTCAAGATTGGAACGAAACTCAATTGATAGTTTCGACGAGCTGTCGACATTGTTCCTCAAACAATACTCCGTGCTCATCGACCCCGGAACTTCCGACGCGGATCTGTGGTCTTTGTCTCAACAGCCCACCGAGCCATTAAGGGATTTCCTCAAGACCTTCAAATCGACGCTAGCCAAGGTCGAAGGAATTACAGATGTAGCAGCTCTCTCGGCTTTGAAGAAAGCTCTCTGGTACAAGTCAGAATTTAGGAAAGAGTTGAACCTGTCTAAACCAACAACAATTCGCGACGCGCTGCATCGAGCCTCGGATTTCGTCGCCCACGAAGAAGAAATGGCGCTACTAGCAAAGAGGCACGAGCCAGCAAAACAGGCGCCCCGAGCCGATAAAACCGAGAAAGCCCAAGCGACGCCTCCGGTCCAGAAAAAGACACGTGAGAGCAGTACGTATACGCATCACGAAGGGCGTAATTTCTCAGGATACCATAGCTACCAGATTGACACGCCCCGAGGCCGTGGCCGCGGTAGAGGCCGAGGCCGTGGGCGAGGAAGAGAGTCCTTCACCTGGATTGACACGCCCCGAGGCCGAACCAAGGAACCAGGAGTCCCAGAAAAGAACCCGAGGGACGGAAGACGAAGACCGAGATGGTACGCGGCAGAAGGTTCTTACCATAATGGGTGGATCGCCATACTGTCCTGACACCGTAGCGGCAATCAAAGCTTATCAACGCCAAGCCGAGACGCCTAGCAACTGGACGAGACGCTTCGATCGACCTAAAGACATGATCACGTTCGAAGAAAGCGAGACAAACGGGCTCGACATGCCTCATAACTATCCAATCGTCGTCACATTAGCGATAGGAGACCATGATATTTACCGAGTACTAATTGACACCGGCAGCACCATCGACGTAATCTTTCGCGAAACGCTCCGACAAATGAACATCGATATGTCACAGGTAATTCCGACCCCGAGGCCCGTCCTCGGATTTTCAGGGGAAACTTTGATGACGCTTGGAACCATCCAACTACCAGTCCGAGCCGGCGGGGTAACGAAGATAGTCAACTTCTCCGTCACCGATCGACCAACCATCTACAACGTCATAATGGGAACTCCGTGGTTAAACCTAATGCGAGCTGTCGCATCAACATATCATCTGTGTGTCAAATTCCCGACCCCTAATGGCGTGAAAACGATCTGGGGCAGCCAGAAAAATTCTCGAATGTGTTTCATGGCAGCACACAAACTCCGAAACCCTGTCACTAAAGAGAAGGCCGAAACCGATCACAAGAGATCAAAACTTGGCCGGAGTGAAGAGAAGGCTATATTTAAACAGTTATAGCAATTACAGATCGAGGAGGCGCGCGAGGAGAAGAAGCCTACCTCGGATCATGTAATCTCCATTAGCCTCGACAACGAACGGCCTGAACGATGCGTGGAAATTGGCAGCGACTTAACCGAAGAAATCAAGACCGAGCTCATCTCATTCCTCAAAGAGAACATCGACACCTTCGCCTGGTCGGCTGAAGATCTACCAGGGGTAAGCATCGACGTAATCTGCCACGAGCTGAATGTTGACCCATCTTTCAAGCCCATCAAGCAGAAGCGAAGAAAATTGGGTCGGGATCGCGCAAATGCAGTGAACGCCGAAGTAGAAAAGCTCTTGAAGATCGGCTCGATCTCTGAAGCAAGATATCCGGACTGGTTAGCAAATCCTGTTGTGGTTAAAAAGAAGAACGGCAAGTGGAGAGTCTGCGTCGATTTCACCGACCTGAACAAAGCTTGCCCTAAAGACAGTTTTCCGCTCCCACATATCGATCGTTTAGTGGAAGCAACCGCGGGAAATAAGTTTCTATCATTCATGGATGCTTTCGCAGGATACAATCAGATTCTCATGCACCCCGACGATCGCGAGAAGACAGCATTCATCACAGACCGAGGTATCTACTGTTACAAAGTCATGCCCTTCGGACTCAAGAACGCTGGCGCAACGTATCAACGGCTCGTCAACAGGATGTTCTCCGAACAGCTCGGGAAGACGATGGAAGTTTATATCGACGACATGTTAGTCAAATCCCTTGAAGAAAGCGATCACATAGCCCATCTACGCGACTGTTTTCGCCAGCTCAACAAGCACAACATGAAACTTAACCCGGCAAAATGTCGTTTCGCGGTAAAGTCGGGAGAATTCTTGGGATATCTCGTAACTCACCGAGGCATCGAAGCAAACCCGAAGCAAATCGATGCTCTACTGAACATGCCCTCACCACAGAACAAGCGCGAAGTCCAACGTCTCACCGGGAAAGTCGCAGCCTTGAACCGATTCATCTCGCGGTCCACTGACAAATGCCTGGCTTTCTACGATACTCTGCGTGGGAACAAGAAATTCGAATGGACCGATCGCTGTGAAGAAGCTTTCCAGGAACTGAAGAAGTATTTGGCTAATCCACCGGTGTTAGCGAAACCAGTCCCGGGCGAGCCGTTATTCCTGTCATAGTCAGGGAAGACAGAGGGGAGCAGAAGCCGATATTTTATGTCTCGCAAACTTTCACCGACGCGGAAACACGCTACCCGCAAACTGAAAAGCTCGCCCTCGCCGTAGTAATGTCAGCTCGGAAGCTACGGCCATATTTCCAGTCTCACTCAATTGTCGTCATGGCACCCGTATCACTCCGAACCATCTTGCACAGTCCAAGCCAATCAGGACGCCTAGCTAAGTGGGCAGTAGAACTCAGCGAGTATGACATCGAATACAGGAACAAAACATGCGCGAAATCTCAAGTCCTGGCCGATTTTATCATCGAGCTGCCAACGGAGAACGCCCGAGAAGAGTCACGCAACGCTGTTTGGATCCTCCACGTCGACGGCTCATCCTCAAAACAAGGTTCTGGCGTCGGAATTCGCCTCGCGTCACCAGAGGGTGAAATCCTTGAACAATCCTTTCGGCTAAATTTCGACGCGACTAACAACGTGGCTGAGTACAAAGCGCTGATAGCAGGACTTAAGCTGGCTCGGGGACTTAAGATCAACAAGCTGCGAGCCTTTTGCGACTCCCAGCACGTGGCTAATCAATTCAATGGAGAATACGCGGCTCGCGACGAACGAATGGAAGCGTATCTTGCTCTCACGCAAGACTTGGCGAAACAGTTCAGAGAGTTTGAGTTAACCAGAATCCCACGAGGTGAGAACACGTCGGCCGATGCCTTAGCGGCTCTAGCTTCAACCTCCGACCCAAATCTGAAGAGAATCATACCGGTTGAGTTCATCGAAAAGCCGAGCATTGAAGATAATAGCAAGGATCAAGTTCTAACAGCTCGGGAGATAGAAGAACCGGAAGAAATGGACATCGAACAGCTAGACCAGCAAACTACGGACACAACCGAGCCCGAATACGGAAGCGACGCCAAATGGGTCGGAGCCATCCGAAGCTACATCGCCGATGGAGAAGTTCCTACCGAAAAATGGGCAGCTCGGAAGCTTAAGGCCAAAGCGGCTCGGTATACTCTGATCGACGGAGAGCTCTTTAAATGGCGATTTTCTGGTCCTCTCCTTATCTGTGTCGAAGGAAATGAAGCTCGGAGAGTCATGGAAGAAGTTCACGGCGGATCTTGTGGAAATCATTCTGGTGGAAGAGCTCTGGCTATAAAGATCAAACGCCACGGATATTTTTGGCCGACGATGGTCAAAGACTGCGAGAAATTTTCTCAACGATGTGTTAAATGCCAGAGGCACGCACCAACCATTCATCAACCCGCCGAGCTCCTCTCTTCTATAACTTCGCCTTATCCATTCATGCGATGGTCCATGGACATCATCGGACCTCTACACAACTCCAAGCAGAAGAAACTCGTCCTCGTACTGACAGACTATTTCTCCAAATGGATCGAGGCGGACTCTTACGCCAGCATCAAAGATGCGCAGGTCGAGAACTTCGTCTGGAAGAACATCATATGCCGCCATGGGATACCTTACGAGATCGTTACGGACAATGGATCGCAGTTTATTTCGGCTCGGTTCGAAGGATTCTGCCTCAGCAAGTCTACGCCTCCGTACCCTCAGGGAAACGGTCAAGCCGAAGCAGCCAACAAGACGATTCTCGACGGAATAAAAAAGAGTTTCGACGCGAAGAAAGGCCGCTGGGCTGACGAATTGGAAGGAGTATTATGGTCGCATCGAACCACGCCGCGGCGGGCCACGGGAGAAACGCCATTCACCCTCGTCTACGGCGCGGAGTGTGTGATTCCCACCGAAGCCGAGATCCCGGGACTAAGAAGACGTTTTCTCCCCGAGCAGGAAAATTCCAACACTCAGATGATGTTGGACGAGCTGGACTTAATCGACGAAAGAAGAGATTCGGCTTTGATCCGTATGCAGAATTATCAGAATGCAACGGCTCGGTACTATAATTCTCACGTTAAGCATCGCCGTTTCCACGAAGGAGATCTTGTACTGCGCAAAGTTTTCCAGAATACCGCCGAACAGAACGCAGGTAAGCTCGGCGCGAATTGGGAAGGACCTTACACGATCGCAAAGGTAATCCGTCCCGGCGTCTACGAACTCGTCAACATGAACGGCAAAGCGGTACCTAGATCCTGGAACGCAATGCATCTAAGGAAATATTACCGCTAAAAACCTAAGGTACGCATGTACTCGAACTACGGGGTGGGTTGATCCCTGAAAAGGGTACGTAGGCAGCTCGTCTTCGGACGAGTTCAGCTACCCCCCCTAATAAAAAAAGGGGGGAGTGGGTCCGTATACATATATACTCCTACTAAATTTTTTCAAGTTCTCTAAGTTTTTTACCCTTCGGATTACCAATTTTATCCACCTCGGAAATTTTAACGGTCATCCTATCGACCTATAAAGCTAAAAGTTCGTTCGGACGATGGCCACGTCCTCAGACATAAAAAGCTCTTTTCACCACTTCGGTTACAGCGCGCTATACAAGCATTCGAGACAATTCGGTCGGAGATATCTTGCCATAAGGAAATTGTCTTCAGAAAACCCAGTTGACTTCGACACTGGTACCCCAGTTCGCTTCTAAGCACTGGTTTCGACTACATCAGCTCGGGTCGCAACCGATAAGGATTAGTCCCACTTAGTCAAAACCCAGTTATCCTAACACTGGTGCACGACTCACTACACTTTCGGCTCGAAAAGTTTAAACATTTGGATTTAACTTCTCAACAAGCAAATCATAAACCCGGTTAACTTAACACTGGTGCACGATTCCTCTCGCTGTTAGCTCGGAAGCTAAATCTAGATATTTGACATTAGTATTGGATTCAGTTCGGAAAAGCTTTAAGATAAAAATACTTAACATCCAGTGGATAAAGCCGTCCAGGCATGTCTTACAAAAAAGGGCAAAAGAGAGAATAAAAAGACATCTCGGGATCAGATCGAGTCTTGGTTAACCGGCGAAACTTGAGCTACCTCGGTTCGAACCAGACTGGTCGGCAACGCCTATCGCAGCCGCGGCACCTTTGATCGAATGGTTCCCGAAGCTATCGTCGACAGAGTCCGGGGAAACCAGAGGAAGCTTCAAGTCCTCTCGCAGCTCGGTCCCGAGACGGACGTACTCATCCTCGGCGTCCCCATACTCAGCCGTCCATTGAAGAACCTCGGCCTTCTCATCTTCTACCCTTTTCCCTTCCTCCAGCTCGGCTATCAGCTCGGCATTGGCCCGCGCTTGCACCAAGTACATGTAGCGCGTGGATACCTCCCCGAACTGGTCCATCTTCGCCTCGATAGCCCTAACCTTCTCGGCAAACTCCCTTTTGGCTGCCCTCCTTTCTCTGACAATCTCCTTCTCCCGGAGAGCCTTCTCCTCATTAAATAACCGATGGAGTCGTTCGACCTCGGCCTCAAGCTTTCTCTGAGTCCGCAGGCTATCCTCAGAAGCTTTCAATCACTCCACCTTCTCGGCCTTGGCCAGCGCCTCAGCTTCCTGTTTAGCCGCGATTGCCTCGGACAACCTAGCTTCGACCTTAGCTCGGGACGTCTCCGATCTCTCACAGGCCAGCTCGGACTTCCGAGCTCCAGAATCATAGGCCCGAACCATGGAATTCATCGAATGGAAGGCCTGAAATAGAACGAGAATCATTAGCAAGCAAATATGGAAACGATAGTAAAATAGGTCAAGAACAGATCGATGATACCTTCAGGAATCCGGCAGCGGTTTCACGATAGTTTTGAGCCTCCAACAAGGCATCGGGAGTAGACAAGGGCGGACCCGAGCAAGAAGCGACAAAGTTCGCCGAAGCGATCTTGTCCTTGTACAGTGGAGTTTCACTACGACTCCTTTTCTCCTTCCTAGGAACTCCCGAGCCATCACCTCGAGGTCTTTTTCCCCTAGTTTTGGATTTCGCCTCGGCGGCTGGAGCAGCAACGACCAGAGTCCCTACCACCTCGGGGATGTCGGTCGTAGGGGAGATGTGCCCGGCCACCTCGGGAACGATCGAAACCATATCCCGAGCTTCATCAGTTGCCTCGGCACCAATAACGACCTCAGGGTTGGCCTCGGGAGGAGTAGGAGGTCTGAAGTTTGCCTCCAAAACGGCTTTTTCCTTAGCCGCCTTCTTTTCAGCAGCCTTCCTGGCTCTCAGAGATTGCGCAGCTCCTTGCATTTCAATGAGGTGATCTAGACGGTGGTCGGAAGATTCTGAAGAAGACTGGCAGGGAGCTCCGTGCAACAAACGCAAGGCTCTCTCGATTCTTTCCTGGGAGAAGTGTTTTGTCCAATCGCACTTCCGAGCAATTAGTTCGTCGTGGAGATCTAGAAAACCTTCGGGAATGTCTTCGAGAAACGACGGGTTCCGATCTGCATGAACAAGGAAAAACGGTCAGTAAAAAGGTTAAAGCAAAACAAGACAGCAAATACGGCTTCGGGCGTAGTACCGATTTGTCTCCACTTTCCAACAACTTTCCCTAAGTAGTCCTCGTGGACACTATACTCATTCAAGGCTACGAAGAAGAAATGGTCGGTGTATTTCTCATCCTTGCTCGGGAAACCACCGATAACCCTCCTATTTGGCCTCGGAGATATGTAAAATCTCTCAACAGGGCCCGGTATGCGCCGGATCTCTAGGAGATTCCTTAAGTGGCTCAGGTCGACAAGATTGACCGTCTCAATACTTCGGACTAAAATCCCCACTAGATGCCGCAAGTCTCGGGTCGTTATCTGGGATAAAGCAATCTTGTACGACCACAGAAACGCCAAAATCGGCCTCGGGATTGGAAGCCAAAGGTAGCAATGATAGAAGAACCCCTCGTAAAGGGTAAAAAACCCCTCGGGTGGATCATCGGCTCGCTCATTTGGAGTTGGAAGTCTCAGTTCAACCCCCTCGCTAAAACCAAATCGAGCCTTGAGATCCCGAAGGGAATCCTCCGTGCATAAAGTAGAACCCGGGGGATCAGGTTTCCTAGCTTTCTTGGCTCGTTTTCTCTTCTGTTGAACCTTGGCTGCTTGGACTTTAGCTTGAAGCAACCTAGCCGCCTCGTCAGAATCGTAGTGAACCTCCTCGGCCTTAATAGGAAGTAGAGGCACCTCGGGGGCATTTCGCCAGCACGATACTCCAGCTTCACCAGCTGCCGGTGGATGGATCCTCCTTCTACTCAAAATCGCCTCGGGATCATCAGGCAAATCCTGATCCCGAGCCACATTTGCAATCGCGTCTTTCCAAACGATGAAACGGCTCGGGTCTTCTTCCCATGAAGCCGACTCTGCATCACTACCACGGTACAACACGATCTGATGGTCCGTGGTATCCGCCTCGGGGTCGCTCGAGGAACTCCAGACCATCTTTCTCTTGTAGACGGGGAGATGAGTGTCACCTCGGGGCGAGTCGCTGGAATCAGAGAGAGACATTTTCTGGCTCGGGAGATTGAAGAAGTTGATCGGAGGAACAAAGTTTGACAGATCGGAGAAATCAACCTAGATCTAATGACGGTGGCGTTATGACGGAAGTATTAACGGAAAAAGTAGAAAATGCAAGAACTCAAGATCAGAGAGAAGAGAACGAACCTTGAAAATTTTCCTTTGCAATTGCGAAATGAAAAAATGAATCGGAGGCTTAACATTTATAGGGATTTGGGGCGCGTCGGGTACGAACGAGCCAAATAAAACACATCGTATCCGCGTCTGAGGCGCGTCGGGCACAAACGAAGTGAGTAGGATACTTCGCATCCGCACGAATCTCGGGAATCAGCGAAAGGACCTTTCCACTTCTCGAGAAGGAATCCCAACCGTCACACGCCAAGAGAAGATGAAACGACAGAGGAATTCGAATCGCCAAAAACTTTAAAGGGACCGAACTGTTCAAAGTAAACGGCTCGGCCTGATTGTCATAAAGCTCGTCACGCTTGGTTCTCCAAACTAATGAGCTGGGGGGCTAACTGTTGGGGTCGGATTCCACCCTTTGGCGCCGAGCCAGACTTAGAACACTTCGGGAGTCTTTCAGTGATCACCTCGGGGCATCGCATCGTTCACCTCGGGATATCCATCTAATCGATTTAGTATACCCGAGCCCATCGCCTCGGGGATACCTTAACAAGACGTTTCAAGCACCCGAGCCCATCGCTTCGGGGATACCTTAACAAGACGTTTCAAGCACCCGAGCCCATCGCCTCGGGGATACCTTGACAAGACGTTTCAAGCACCCGAGCCCATCGCCTCGGGGATACCCTGAACAAGACGTCTCAAGCACCCGAGCCCAATTGCCTCGGGGGTACCCGAGCCTGGTCGCCTCGGGAGTTTCTGAGCCCATCGCCTCGGGGACACCCAAAGAAGCCATCCTAGAGTGCCCGAGCCAGTCTTTCCTGTGTACCCGAGCCGATTGCACAAGTTTCTCCGAGGTGAAGTCTTCATCATCGCCTGAGGTAAAGACTTAGCAAATATTCGCTTTCAAAGTACCATTTCCAAGCAAGGTATCATTTCCGAACAAGAAGGATCATTTCCGATATACCCGGAAATGATAAGAGAGAATCTAGAAGGATCGATTCAAATCAGGAAATCTCCCAAAGACTCCGAAAAATAAGGAAACTATCCTAATCCGCGATATTCTGAGCCGACTTCAAGATAAATGGAAATCTTCCGAGAATATCGCTGGAGAGGCGGTTTATCACCTATATATAAAGAGACTCAAGGCTCAAGCAAAGGGCAAGCAATATCGCTCTAGAATTTACACTACGCAAAGCTCTCACAGCACAAACATCTTTTTCTTTTACGATCAAACTCTTGTACGATCAAAGTCATCTTTTTCTTTATAATATCAAGAACACCATCTTTGGTTACAATCGTTTCTGTTGTTCTTTGAGAATTCACGATTTTCGTATCCCTAAAATAAAACCCTAGACAAATCTTGATTGTGTTAGTTTCGACTTCCACAGAGGAGCCGCCTCAGGCTCGGGTTCCAAATCACGTGTGGTGCTAAGAGAGATCGAAGAGGGGGAGGATCTTGGGGCAGAATATCAAAACAGGAATGTTGAGGAAATTGCCGAAGAGGAAGCAGATGAATTGGATGACATTGATCCAAACCATGACACTTTGGCCAACATGGAAGGTCCTCCGGAGGTTTATGAACACTACAGCATATATAATGCCGAAAGAGAGGCAAGTGAGTTGTTCAACCCAATTCCAATTTTTGACAACGCCACTGGAGATATTCCAAGCAGCCCAAGCTATCGTCGTTATTCGGCGATGATTCACCCAAGATTGGATCATTTGGAGGTTTCTGACCAACTCCCACAGAACATAATGGAGACAAGAGATTGTGGAAAACGCAAGAGGGAAGATGTGATTTTTGAATCAGAAGTGGCAGAGGCTTCAGAGAAGGTGGTCATTCGGGAGAAGGGAGAAGGAAGTGGAGGCTCCGGTGAGCCTAACCAGTGCAGAGGCGTGGTGGGCCCGAATCCACCACATCCGCCATGAGGACAGCCTGTTGGAACTGTCAAGGTTTCGGCAATGACCTTACAGTTCGACGCCTTAAGGAGATTTCTAAGAAGTATCTCCTGGACATCATTTGCCTTTCTGAAACGAAGCAGGATGACGACTATATGAGGGACAAGGGTTGTGAGTTAGATTTTAACAATCATGTAATAGTTCCTCCTATAGGTCGTAGTGGGGGTTTGGTAGTTTATTGGAAGGATCATGTAGATATTTCCCTTTGTTTCCAATCTCCTAATCTTGTAGATCTTTATGTGAATAGTAATGAAGGAAGTTTCTATTTGTCGTTTGTATACGGTAACCCAAATCCAAGTTTACAAAATCATTTATGGGAACGTATCGAACGCGTTCATACTCAGAGACAAGGGAGTCCTTGGTTAATTATGGGAGATTTTAACGAGCTTCTGGGAAATAATGAGAAAAGTGGGGGTAGAATAAGACCAGAACATTCCTTTAGAGACCTAAGAAGGATGGTTAGGACTTGTAATTTAACAGACTTAAAATCTAGTGGGGATCGTTTCTCTTGGGCAGGGCAGAGAGGCCAGCACTATGTTTTATGTTGTCTTGACCGCACGATGGCTAATAATGAATGGTCATCTCTTTTCCCAATTGCTGAAACAGAGTTTCTGGAGTTTGGTGAATCCGATCATCGGCCACTGGTTACAGGTTTCTCAAATCAAAGAGAGAATCGCAAAGGATTTTTCCGGTATGATGCTCGATTTACAAATAAGGATGGTTTCAGGGACACTGTTACACAAGGTTGGCGAGGCCAAGGAACAACCAGAGAAGGCAACATTTCCATGACTCATCGACTTACACAATGCAGGAAAGGAATCTCTAAGTGGAAGCAGAGATATCGGTCTCATGCAGCTGAAAGAATTAAAATCATTCGTTGGCATCTTAACAGAGCGATTACCACCGGAAGTGCTAATACGGCGGAGAGAGCCAAACTCAAGAGAGATTTAAACCAAGCTTATATCGACGAGGAAGTTTACTGGAAAACGAAAAGCAGAAATAATTGGCTCAATTTTGGGGACAGATTCACCAAGTACTTTCATTTAACAACCAAGGTCAGAAGAAATCGAAACCGAATTCTCTCAATTGAAGATGGTAATGGTGAAAGCAGACGTGGAGATCACAACATTGCAGAAATTGCAACCGATTACTTTTCAAAGATCTATACTTCGATCCCAGCGCCTAACTCCGCCTTTACAGAAGTGTTTCATAATTTCCCGAGACGAATCACAGCAACAATCAACGAGGATCTTACACGTGAGGTTACAATGGAGGAAATAAAAGAATCAGTGTTTGCAGTAGGTCCTACAAAAGCTCCTGGTCCAGACGGTTTTACAGGAGCCTTTTATCAACATTTTTGGAATGACATAAGCCCGGAAATCTACAAGGAGGTCCAAAGTTTTTTCAGGGACAACGAGTTTGATCAGACACATAATCATACCAACATTTGTCTCTTGGCAAAGGTTGTCGCTCCACAAACAATGGCGGAATTTCGACCTATTGCTCTTT